AATACGTGGATATTTCACAAAGCACAGTTCAATAATATTTTAAGATGTAAGAATTAAGCATCTAGTTCGGTCGTTCCGAGTGAGTAGTTTTTGTAGTGTATTACTACGCAGTGTGATCAGGTTACTATCAGTTCCCACGTGCTGAGATTCTATGAACACCTGTGTTATGCATTTATGAATGTAATTTTTGTCAATGGGTCTAAGCATACAGAATGTAAATATATATATATGATATATATCTTCCTGAATTTGAAATCAAGGACACTTCATACTCTTCAACGTACATCAATGATCAACTGGGACGAATAACTACTGTACGATAAGTGTCACTTTTTCGATTTGATCCTATCATGAAAATTCGTTTCCTTTATAGTAACATCTATGCTCCGCAATTGATTTGGTATTCACGAGCTTGCAACATGTCGTGATTTCCGTGATATATGTCGAATGCTGAAGGAAGAAATTTCAGCACGGAGTTTCCAATGATGCAGGTTGGAGGGGACACGTTTTGTTGTTGTCACCGTAATCTCGTTATGAAATGTATTATATGTATGATTTGAAGGTTGAAGTTTTTGATCACGCCATTTAGTGTTGCTTGTGTCATTGTCACTCCTCCGCTTCTCGCTTAGAGAACATGATATTGTTGTATTTGACAAAGATTTACATTACAGGAGTCGTCGATGAAGCGGAAGACGCTAACCCTTCCGGAACACCTAGTCTCCTTGTACATATCAGGGGTCCCCACGTTAATCTTTCCTTTGTTCATATTTAGCCCTGGTGTTATCAAGTTTGAGTTCGAATTAATGCTTTGTCGACACATCGATTTCGTACTGTAGATAGCTTTCTTCTCTCAAATGTTACATGTGGTGATGGAAGTATTTACCAATCCAGAAGCTGGTTTCAATTCTTGTAATTGTGTGTTTGTAATGTCATTATTTTGACATTATTTGGGTTTTCCTGTTGTCATCTGATAATGTTTTTGAGGGATCTTGTGCGTAGACGCTGTGATAAGGATATTTTTAATACTGATTTCTTATTACAAAATATAGAATACAATTAAGTGTCAGCAACCTTATTAATAACCCATCAATAGGTTTTATAGTAAAGACGAATATTAGATACTACTCAAAATAACAAAACACATCTTTCGGTTCTTAAAATATTCTTTATTTCGTTAGATGTCAATACTTGCAAATAAAATGTATGCATAGCTAGTCTTTCTATAAAAATTCTGTAAAATAGTAGAATGGAATACTTTGTCATTAATATGTTCTCGCTAACTGTAATAAAATTTTATTTTCGGTAAGGTCCTCAAAATCATCTGGAGCTGATACTGGTCGTGTGGGATTGGATAAAAGGAAAGCGTGTCTCTAATGTTCCGGTGACTTCTGCTCCCTTGGTGTATGGTTTTGTATAGTTTGAACTAACTGATGATCATTAACAACTAACTTTCAATAGGAGATAACGTTAACACTCCGACTGGCTCTAATATCTATATAACAGGATAGTTTACAGCCACTACTTCATCACTTATAACATGGTAATTTGTATCATGAAGTAATATTATTTTTCTTATTCCTGCATTGAAATTTTTGGCTATTTCTTGTCTGTTCGAAAAATATAAAATAAGGAAAATGCAAGCGTTCCTCTTTAAAAGGAATCATCGACTGCTATATGTGACTATTAAGCCTTTTCATTTTCTGGCCACTGTTTCGCTCTTGATATTTTGAAAAGGAAGTTTTCGACTCAATGATAAAAGTGACAAAAAGAAACTTCTCAATAATGAAAACAAAAAAAAGGTTAACTTGAAAGAACTTCAACATCTATGTTAACGACCATGCATGTACACAAATCCCCCCCCCCCCCCCCCCCCCCCCCCTGATTTATTCATTAATTTATCTGTTTTTACCAGTACTACCACGAATAATGTAACTTAAAAGATATCTCACTTATAAATGCCATACAAATATATCTTTCCTAGAAACTTAAGTGTTGATTTCCTCTTAATAGTTAACAATCTACAAAAGAAGCACACAGATACTTAGAACAATATTAGAGGACGGATATAAGCTTCAGTACTTTGATCAACATTGACAACAACATCGACATCATTGACAACAACATCGACATCATTGACAACAACATCGACATCATTGACAACAACATCGACAAACACATGAGTATCTGAACAAGACACAGATATATATCACAGTATATTGGAAGTTCGCCTTTGCCACTTTAACGAAAATGTTTTCGAAATTCTCTTTGAAGCTGTTTACTTCTGTCGTGTTTTTGGCTTTATCATTCAGATGTTTCTATATACCGATTGCTGCCCGAATACTTTTCATACTTTGGTCCATTTCACGCTATTTTGTCTTTTTTTCCACAGCTATGAGTAACGTGCTTTCTCATTGGCCAATGCTAATCTTCTAATGTTACTGATGCATCCAGCTGCCGATTCTTGGAGATCCTCGTCGGAAGATCCCACCATGGCCATCAGGGGCTGCAATGTCAAACCAGAATTAATAAATACGAGAAAGGGAAGCTTTTGAGGAGACACCATAACAACTAAATGGAAAGAAGTTTCAAACACAACACATGAACGGAAAAAAGTCTTTCTCCAACGACCTTAGACACAGAATAAACGTGTTCAAACTTAAAACTAAGTTTTTTGAAAACATTTTTGTAGTCAAACGTGCAATGACTAAAAAAGCAAAACATTCTAAGCAAATTATTTAAAATAAAACATTTCTTACAGAACTGCAACAGTTGAAGCAAATCCTTTAAAATAGAACATTGCAAACAGAACTGCAACAGTTTATTAAATACTACTGTAAAAGCATATATTTTCGTTGGGGTTAAATTTCGTTGTTTTTGTTTGGGGACAAATTCGTTGGGATTATATTTCGTGGAATCAATGTTTTCAAACCCAGTAGTATCCTTTGATTATTTCTGACAGAATGATGAAATAATAACTATTCATTTTGTGATCGGCTATATCTTTTCGTGAACTAACGGGAGCACACATGTCAATTCAAAGTAAAACGTTAACATATATACCTGTACAACTCCCGCCTCATGCATGGTGATACAGTTCTCTGGATTTTTTGACAGCTGAAATAAGGCCCTGGCAGTTGACCGATGTACGTTTTCGTCCTGGGACTTGAGGTACTTGACTAAGGGCCCTACTGCCTTTTCTCTGCCAAACGCTGTTCTGTTGTTGCCCCAATTGCAGCACCGTGCGATCGCCTCGGCCAACGTCCTCCGTAGCTTATCATCAGTCTGTAACGAAACAAGAAACAGGTAAGTATCGCAGCACCACACAGCAGGATAAACTGCGTCAGTTTGTCTAAAAACTAGCTAGAGTATACAGAACCAATATATAGTGATTGTAACTTAGGCTTAGCAAGTGATTTGGCATTCGTGAGCAGATGAGAAAAATAACGCATTCTGCATAAAAATAAAATCCTTTCTTTTCTCTTTTTTTTTTAAAAAAATATCTCGAATCTTCAATTGTTTTAATTTTTCGTGCCATAAAATGTTTTTTGAAGGTTCGTTTTGTTCTGTAAATTTAAAATATTGTTATACGTATATCTTGTTTAGTAACTGTAATGGGTTTTATTTGGTTATAAAACGTTCAGAAAGATGAGGCTCTTATCGAAACGAACGATAATGTTATACATGTGCACGATTGCGTTAAACATGACATAAAGATAACACTTGTGACATACAAATATTGAGTATTCAAATTCGTCCATGCGTGAATGACATCTCTGATTACATCACACGTGACAACAGGCACATGACACACATTTGTGTTCGGCTTCGAATGACTGCACAAAAAAGTAGTTCGAACCGCTGATTAGTTTGCCATTTCGATACAACTTAGATTCTGTAGCTTCTGTGGCTGGAGTTGTGTGGCATACATAATACAGTTGTATTGTTCGGGATAATGTTGACTGTACAGTACTCGTGTTTTTATGAACATAGTTATGGTGACAATGGGGCAAATGTAATGTGCTGACACAAGGGAGATATGCTGTTATTGCTGACAGTGTCAGGATCATCGTCATTTCAAAATAACAAAAGATATTGATTTGCTGGCAAGTTAAAATAATAATAAAAACTTCAGATAGGCACATAGTCAACAAGTTTCATAGCCCATTTCTTTATTGATATTTTTCCGTTGCTAATATTCAAACACATAAATAGGTTTTTTTAAATAAATGTATTATTTCATTTGTATAGAAATCCATAAAATGTTACATGTATATGAATTACACTTGTGTCAGATTAAAAAAAGACACGCATTGCTGATAGGGATGCGACACATTGTGCAGGGTTTCAATTTGCATCTGTGCCTCGTTTATAATAAAAATATAAACTGTCAATACTTTGCTGGGTTTATATATAACGCGGGCAGTCATTTCATTACTGCTGGTGCAGCTTTCCCGCATACATTACCGTTGGGGACACCTACCCCCACCCCCATGATCGTCGTAATGCATGGGGTCAGCTGTCACCTGATGTGAAGAGCCTGATTTATTTAAATGAGCCTGCTACGTCTTCTGATAACCATACCACAGGTACTAGCCTCGTCTGTCGATACACCCACAATATTATGTATAATGACATCACAATTACGAGCAGGTCCTATGAGGATAGTGAAAACCTACGCCCAACAATACAGCTGTCTGATATAATAGTATAAGATATGCTAGCCGGAGTTTCCTCTGGCCCTGATATGCCAGACGGTGACATTCTGACAGACAAATGTCTGGTGTGGCCTGAGTTCCCTCTGGCCCTGACACAAGACTGAGACATCTTGACAGATTGATCAGATATATAATTGTCAAAATTTGTCAAAAGTCTGGTTTCAGGGCCAGAGGAAAAACGGGCTAATCAGAAGTAAGTGTGGAGGAATAATAGATTCTCCCAAAGGTACATTTTGTAGATGTGGTGGAAAGTATTTACCAATACCTGCTTATAATATATTCTAGTATTTTTTTCCATAACAATCTATAATATATCTAATATTTCCCTTCATCTATCTATGACAAATTCTTGTATTCGCCCACACCTTATTATGTTATACTGTAGCATTCCCCAACACCTGTAGTAGATCGAACTAATATAGTCAATCAAAGGTAGGTGTGTACAGTATAACGCTAGGTCGTGGCTAGCCTTATCAGGGCTAGAATTAATTGATTCTCATCTGCATGCTGTCATGTACCTTTGAGAATTGATTTTCACTGAGTGTACAGTTCACACACAATAATCTAGGTCACGTTTAATTAGTTTCCCTACACTGATTTGCTCACAAAGCATGCATACCTGGTGCATGTGGTGATGACACTAATTTTAACTCATTCACCCCTGATGACATATTTTAACTCTTCCAATTCAAAGGTTGGAATAGTTCATTATGAAATTTCAGGGGTGAATGAGTTAATCACTGCATTGAAAAACAGACTGATTCATGAGATGGTAGTTTTCTCGGTACGATGATGTAGCATGTTTACAAACAACCTAGCCTAACAATTGCATTGTTTTGTTCTATGTATTTTGGAAATAACCACTTTCTCCTGATTTTCCTACTAGCATTTTCAAGAGTCTTCTTTTCATAAAGCAAGAAACAAAACCTTACAAACGATATCTATAACGACACGCTGGTATCTTATCTAGGCCTTTCACCTCTACAAAGGTTCCTAGGAAGCCTAAAGTCGATGTCAGTGTATTTAGTTTTTATAAAGTCCTAAAGGTTCCCGGGTTGGCTTTGTAAACTTTACTTTCTACTTTAAATGTAAATACTTGACATCCCAGAACAATGAAACAAGGACATCGTATTATTGATTTCCTTCTTTATATGTAGCTGTATGCTAAAACGATTCAGATATCCTACAAAAACCAAACATTCACAAGTATTTTCAAATCTGAGATATAATGAAAATCTCCTTCCTGGTATGACAGTTTTACATGTACATGTATGTATTGTTACAAAAGGCACTGTCCTCAATTCAGACATGTGAACTCAGAAAAGTAGGAGGAACAACTTAAGTTTGACACAGGATGTATGCACGGGAAGTTTGAAACTAATTACTCACTGTAGATAAAAATAGGGTGTGGGTGACAAACACAGGGAAACATTAGTACACACTGTCTGTAGATATGATATGTGAGTTAAAACATGGACATAACATGTAACATTACATAATTACTGGTGACACCAGTTAATCTTACCAGTTAATTACTAGTGACACCAGTTAATTACTGGTAACACCAGTTAATGTTACAAGTTAATTACTAGTAGCACCAGTTAATTACTGGTAACACCAGTTAATGTTACCTGTTAAGTACTGGCAATAACGGTTAATAACTAGTGACACCAGATAATGTTACCAGTTAATTACTAGTCACACCAGTAAATAACTGGTAACACCAGTGAATGTTACCTGTTAAGTACTGGCAATAACGGTTAATAACTAGTGACACCAGATAATGTTACCAGTTAATTACTAGTAACACCAGTAAATATCTGGTAACACCAGTTAATGTTACCTGTTAAGTACTGGCAATAACGGTTAATAACTAGTGACACCAGATAATGTTACCAGTTAATTACTAGTAACACCAGTAAATAACTGGTAACACCAGTGAATGTTACCTGTTAAGTACTGGCAATAACGGTTAATAACTAGTGACACCAGATAATGTTACCAGTTAATTACTAGTATCCCAAGTTAATGTTACCAGTTAATTACTAGTAACACCAGTAAATATCTGGTAACACCAGTTAATGTTACCTGTTAAGTACTGGCAATAACGGTTAATAACTAGTGACACCAGATAATGTTACCAGTTAATTACTAGTATCCCAAGTTAATGTTACCAGTTAATTACTGGTAACACCAGTTAATCTTACCAGTTGATTACTAGTAACACCAGTTAATTACTAGTAATACCAATTAATTACTAGTAACACCAGTTAATTACTGGTAACGCCAGTTAATGTTACCAGTTAATTACTGGTAACAACAGTCAATATTACCAGTTACTTACTAGTAACACCAGTTAATGTTACCAGTTAATTACTGGTAACACCCGTTAATGATACCAGTTAAGTACTGTCAATTATGGTTAATTACTGGTAATACCAGTTAACTACTGGTAATACCAGTTAACTACTGGTAACACAAGTTAACTATTGGTAACACCAGTTAACTACTAGTAACACACTGGTAACACTAGTTAACTGCTGCTTATACACTGGTAAAACCAGTTAACTACTGGTAACACACTCGTAACACACTGATAACACCAGTTAACTACTGGGCAAAACAGTTCAGAACCTAATGACCTTAATGACAATTTCTGGCTAATCTTTTGTAAAGTATATTTTTCAAAATTATCAAAATTCAAAACTGAAATAATACATAGTGAGATTTAAAATGATTCACTTTAAATAAGTCAGAACAAAGTTCTTTTAAACTTTTGAATATTTCTAAAAAAAAAACAATTTGACAAACTTGGGAACAAACAGACTGTAATGTATGTTACCAAGCTTCAGGGTGAAATGAAACATTGTATCTTATACACAACCACATGTATAGTCAACAGATGACAGAAATCCTGTTCTTTTCATTGCCATCAAAATGTAAAGCAAATCATTTTAGTACATTAATATCAACATGATGAACTGACAAACAAAATGACAAGAAAATGTGTGATTTTTCTCAAACCGATGTTTGACCTGTTGTTAGTCCTGTTTGTATAGCGTGTTGGTATAGAGTCACACACACCACTGCGACACATCCTCGCCATACAGTCCCAGATAGACCTCCACAAATGTCACACATTATTGATCCCGTGAAGCAAATCTTGTTTGTTTATACGTTCAGCAAAGACCCAATTTACCAATGTAACACACATCAAATATCAGGCAAAATCTGGTTGCAATTATTACATGATGAAAAAAATTGATTACCATAAATATGCAAAAAAATATTAATTACAATCAATATGCATAAAGAAATAATTACCATAAATACATATGCAAAAAATTATGAATTTCCATAATATGTGAAAAAATTATTCACCATATATAGGTGAATGTTTTCCATCTATTGATTTTAGCCCACTCCACGTTTGTTAGTTAAATGGTCAGGTTAATTTGATGGTGGTAACCGGAGAGGTAATTAATAAACAATGATACGAATGTTAATTCCTAGCCACACAGACAGTAACAGTGTACAGTGTTTCTCAAACAACTGGGTGTCAATCCTTGAGTGAACAAATATCATCATTACCACTTCTGGCTTTTTCCCTCTCATTGAATACTGTAATATACAGGAAATCAGGTTAATTGAATACTGTAATCTACAGGAAACAAGGTTCATTGAATACTGTAATATACAGGAAATCAGGTTCATTGAATACTGTATTATACAGGAAATCAGGTTCGCAAACAATAATGAAATCACAGGCTAATTAGTAATAACAGCATAACAATGTACGTAAGAATGTGAAAATTGGTTGCATATATTTTCATTAACAATCTCAAATTGGAGAGGGCCTAGTAAATTGTAAGAGCCTGTGGCCAATCCCTTTGACTATTCAGTGTCAATAAAATATGTTTGAATGAATTAACAATCTCAAAACATGAGAAAACCAATTAAATTGGATACACTATAGCTGAAGCACCGTACTGTATTTTTACAATGTGACGTATCACATGTACAATGCGACAAACCAATAGTAGTCCACTACAATCTGACATGCCTCCTCGTGTACACTGATATTACGTAAGCATGACTTGTAAACTTTCTGTGTAACAATCTATTATTTCAGAGCAAAAAGATCTTTAGATCTGCAGACAACCAATGCATGGCATCGGATTCCTAATCTAGAGTACAGCATTTTTTTTTTTAATTTCTTTCACCCAAAACGTACCTGCGCATTATACACGAGTGCACAGATATTTACGGTATATATATTTACGGTATATATTATTTACGGTATATATATTTACGGTATATATATATACGGTATATATATATACGGTATATATATTTACGGGTATATATATTTACGGTATATATATATTTACGGGTATATATATATACGGTATATATATATACGGTATATATATATACGGTATATATATATATGGTATATATATTTACGGGTATATATATTTACGGTATATATATTTATATATTTACGGTATATATATATTTACGGGTATATATATTTACGGTATATATATATACGGTATATATATATACGGTATATATATTTACGGGTATATATATTTACGGTATATATATTTACGGTATATATATATTTACGGGTATATATATATACGGTATATATATTTACGGTATATATATATTTACGGGTATATATATTTACGGTATATATATATACGGTATATATTTACGGTATATATATTTATGGTATATATATTTACGGTATATATATTTATGGTATATATATTTACGGTATATATATCTTTTCCAAACCACGATCTGTGTACAGAGTCTAACACATGAAAATATTACCACTTTCCCTGTATTATTACCACTTTCCCTGTATTATTACCACTTTCTCTGTATTATTACCACTTTCTCTGTATTCCTTCGTCACCAAAGACGGAATTACTCTTAATTTGTAGACAGTTGTCATCGCTAGCATGGTAATGTCATTTACTGTATAACTTATGTGAAATTATGAAATATAACCAAATAATCTGATAATTTGATAATCATGATCTATATCTTAAAATTCACACTGGTAATATTTATGTAAAGTTAAAAACTTTATATATATATATATACATATATATAGTCAATATTGGAGAGAACAAAAACCTCTTTTTTTCATTTGTAAATCATAACTGTATAAAAAAATATAGAAAATAACATTAAGTTTCATTGTTTAATGATTATAAAAAAATCATTGGTGAAAAATGTTCACTGAGTGTGTCATTAACCTCAACATCAAAATAAAACGAGGTCATGTATATTAGGAAAGCATGGTCAAGTGATCTCGTCAGACTGCAGTCGACTCACAGCCTCGTGAATCGTGCTGTGGACTTCCCTGACTGACTCTGAATTGATTACTAAGTTGATGTACACGAGAGGTCGGGAAACAAGATAACAAATTCATCTTATCCTCTGTGTAAACAACGCAACAACAATTGTCATACGACTTAACAAATATTACCGGTGATATGTACCTACATTAATGATGGCTTCAAGTATGCGTACATTATAAGGACACAAGTTTTTTAAAACATTGTTACATGATTTCAAACTAAAACATAATCCTACTTGACCATTCGAGTCTCATTATTGTGGTGGTGGGGGAGACTCCCAAACTTTCACTTTCATTTGTGACTAATTTTGAAATCAGAGTTCCCCGTATACGTTTTGCTCGAATTCAATTGTTTCACTACACAGAACAGCTTTACCTGTGGGCACAGAACAGCTTTACCTGTGGGCACAGAACAGCTTTACCTGTGGCTTTTATGCCACTGCTTTAGACAAATTATTTCTACAGTTAAATTCTCTCCTCCAACACATATATATAAAAAAGGACAGGTTGGCATGTATGACAATGTAAAATGGGAACACAACATTCTTCATATATATAGAATATATCTCTAATATACCAGCTAGTTAAGTGTGCGTAGGTTTGTAATCTGTCACACTGATATCTATAATTATACTACATAACGATGCACATTCCTTTGTTTTGGAGTGGATGTCCTCATAATAACAGGCCATATGACCACAATGTCCAGTGGTGGTAAGGTCACTCAATGATAGTGACCGGCCAAGCACGTTCATATTCAAACATAGACGTAGGGGCGACCATGACCAAAGAGTCAAGGTGAGAGAGTATTGATAGAGATCACCTAGCGTTCAATGGAAGTACCATGTCTATTACAATGGGAGCACAATGTCTATTACAATGGGAGCACCATGTCTATTACAATGGGAGTACCGTGTCTATTACAAGGGGAGCACCATGTCTATTACAATGGTAGCACCATATCTATTACAATGAGAGTACCATGTCTATTACAATGGGAGTACCATGTCTATTCCAATGGGAGCACCATGTCTATTACAATGGGAGTACCATGTCTATTACAATGGGAGTACCATGTCAATTACAATGGGAGTACCATTTCTATTACAATGGGAGTACTATGCCTATTACAATGAGAGCACGATGTCTATTACAATGGGAGGACCATGTCTATTACAATGGTAGTACCGTGTCTATTACAATGGGAGCGCCATGTCTATTACAATGGGCGCCCCATGTCTATTACAATGGGCGCCCCATGTCTATTACAATGAGAGCACAACGTCTATTACAATGGGAGCACCAGGTCTATTACAATGAGAGCACAACGTCTATTACAATGGGAGCACCATGTCTATTACAATGGGAGTACCATGCCTATTACAATGAGAGCACCATGTCTATTACAATGGGAGCACCATGTCTATTACAATGAGAGCACCACGTCTATTACAATGGGAGCACCATGTCTATTACAATGGGAGCACCTTGTCTATTACAATGGGAGCACCATGTCTATTACAATGGGAGTACCATGCCTATTACAATGAGAGCACCATGTCTATTACAATGGGAGCACCATGCCTATTACAATGAGAGCACCATGTCTATTACAATGGTAGCACCATGTCTATTACAATGAGAGCACCACGTCTATTACAATGGGAGCCCCATGTCTATTACAATGGGAGTACCATGCCTATTACAATGAGAGCACGATGTCTATTACAATGGGAGCACCATGTCTATTACAATGAGAGCACCATGTCTATTACAATGGGAGCACCATGCCTATTACAATGAGAGCACCATGTCTATTACAATGGGAGCACCACGTCTATTACAATGGGAGCACCTTGTCTATTACAATGGGAGCACCATGTCTATTTCAATGGGAGCACCATGTCTATTACAATGGGAGCACTATGTCTATTTTCTGATCCTGTCTGTGTCAGGTTTATCAGACAACCACAACATGTTGAAGGGAACTCTCAATGTGCATCGACCCCCACATTTGTCAACTCTTATTGATTACTAATCATATGGTACAACCAGTACAAAATTAGAGCCTTGTTTTTATTGAGCTATCTCAGGACCTGATCTCCTACCTGAGATAAACCTGCTAGCCTAAGGGTGATGTAGAGTGTTACTGTAGACCACTACAATGCACCGGTGTATTGTACAGATCTTTACATACAGGCCTAGGGGTCCACACCGTAAGTATACAGACAACCTGCTATCAATCTACAGTGTATTTATCTGTGACAACAGGTGCTTGGTGATAATTGAACAAATGGAAAAGGTTATCTGCATCAGATATGAACATGATTTAAAACATACGGGCCACCGTAAATGGACTTTTGCAGTTGGATAATGAAATGTCCATGATCAATAACAGTAGGCCCTCATGATCATGAAATAATGCATGACAGTCTATATTTAAACTTTTGTTTTGGGAGATATCAAGCTAGAAATGTTATTGCAGTTTGCATAACCCCAATGAAAAGGCTGAATAAAAACTGTACAGTTAGTAGTTTTTGATACTAAAAAAATGAAACACTATACTACTCTACCCCCTATTTTTTTTCTTTATCATAAAATTAGCCCCACCCCTGTTTTAGTTTACAGTGAAACTTTAAGCTACATGATGAAAATCTTAAAGGTAATCTACCAATATGCTATGAAATATGATAATAGGCTTATTGTCCATATATGTAGGAAGGGCTCGTGTTCTGACAAAAAGGCTTATTGCCAGGCCAGACAGAAAGGCTTGTGTTTTGATTAAAAGGCCTATTGCCAGGCCAGACAGAAAGACTTGTGTTTTGACTAAAATGCTTATTGACACAGATAGAAAGGTTTGCATTCTTACAAAAAAGCTTATTGACAGACATGAAGACTTGTGTTTTGACTTTAAAGGCTTATTTCCAGGCCAGATAGGAAGGCTTGTATTCTGATAAAAAAGCTTATTGACAGTCAGAAAGTATTGTGTTCTGATTAAAAGGCTTATTGACACAGACAGAAAGTATTGTGTTCTAATTTAAAAGCTTATTGACACAGACAGAAAGTATTGTGATCTGATTAAAAGGCTTATTGACACAGACAAAAAATATTGTGTTCTGATTTAAACGCTTATTGACACAGTCAGAAAGTATTGTGTTCTGATTAAAAGGCTTATTGACAGTCAGAAAGAATTGTGTTCTGATTAAAAGGACTATTGACACAGACAGAAAGTATTGTGTTCTGATTAAAAGGCTTATTGACACAGAAAGTATTGTGTTCTGATTAAAAGGCTTATTGACACAGACAAAAAGTATTGTGTTCTGATTTAAAGGCTTATTGACACAGACAGAAAGTATTGTGTTCTGATTAAAAGGCTTATTGACACAGACAGAAAGTATTGTGTTCTGATTAAATGGCTTATTGACACAGACAAAAAGTATTGTGTTCTGATTAAAAGGCTTATTGACACAGACAGAAAGTATCGTGTTCTGATTAAATGGCTTATTGACACAGACAGAAAGTATTGTGTTCTGATTAAAAGGCTTATTGACAGTCAGAAAGTATTGTGTTCTAATTAAAAGGCTTATTGACACAGACAGAAAGTATTGTGTTCTGATTAAAAGGCTTGTTCTATTGTTCAAACATTGAAAGGACTGTTTTCAGGTATGACCACCCCCTGTAAAAGGCAATGCACTTTACTAATATCCCAGTGTTGAGAAATGTCATACAAATTTATTCAGATAAGCAGGTGTAGTTCAATGACTGAAGAATGTGAAAATCAGTTGAATATGTCTGCGTGATCTCACTTACAGACAAATTCAGTGGGGGTAGACTGTATGCTTATTGTCTGGAAACAATTTGTTATTAACTCATTCTCCCCTCAAGATACATTTGAACTCTTCCAATTCAAAAGTTAGAACAGTTCATGTGAAATTTCAGGTGTAAATGAGTTTCTATAGGATTTGACAATCAGGAATAACTGGATACTTTTTGTCAAATGATCCTAACTTCCTTAACCTGAAAAAGGAATAAGGTTTTAACTTCAGAGTTACCACTGAACATTGGTCCGTAACTTACCGTATTTGTTAGTTTGGCCAGCATTGGAACCACACCGTGGTCAGTGATGACCGCTAAGTTCTCCTCATCCTTGGCGATGTTGGCAATGGCGGCACACACACTGGCCAGTACCTCCTTATCATGTGACTTGAGCAGACTCACTATCAATTCTAGACCGCCCACAAACGACCTCACCATCTCACCAGCATCCTGTAGCAAAGTAACAGGTGTTAACTTCAAGATAAATTCAAGTAAACAAGCAATTTTGCTTCTTTATAATATGGTCAGGTGTAGTATTAAGATATTTTGAAACACAATGAATTTTTCCTTAATTCTCTTTAATCATATTTTGGTTATGCTAAGAAATGTTTTTTAAAAAAGACCTTTTATAACATATTTTTTTATAAAAATCTCTAACTTAATTATTTCATGCATCTCCAGAATTACAATTATCTTTAAGCAAAATTTACAGTTCCAATACATAAGGGAACAGTAAAACTCTTGGCTATGAAAGCTTTGAGATCCTAAACCATTTATAAAGTTATAACCATATTTTTCACAGTAATTATAAGCCCAGGGGACAAACATATACTCTCTGAATCAAAATAGGGAGGGGTCTTATTACAGGACAATGAAATAGCGCCAGTAAACATTTCTACTGAACTGTTATAGACATGGGTGGGCTTATTACCAGGCTTGGGCTTATTGCTGGATAAAATATTGTAACAAAAAATCTGTCAATTTCCAACAAGAAAAAAATGTTCTGTAATTTTTTACTGATATGTCAGCAGCCTAATATACTGAGGCATATAATTCATGCAAATAATAAAATCATATAATTTTTTATATTGTATTCAATAACTACGGTATCGACATGATAAACCTTCATATGTAAACCATTTAATATCATCAGCATTCTGTTATACGTGGCACATGCTTGGATCTGGTGTGATGTTACTGAAGCTGTTACAGTCAATATCTCTCATTATTCGTACATACAAATGGTGAGTTCTACAATACATGTAACCACAACATGCTGACAGACAATATTGTGTAAATTTGACAATATGATTTTTAACATAGTCCTGGTGAAACCTAACATTTTTTCAAATCACTAGTGCATTTTGCTTGATTTACTGTGAGTTTGTATCCTGGACTCCAGGTATTACTTTTTGTCCTACCTGGCCAATTGAAAACTACAACAGCCTTTTCTTTGTCAACTTACATGCAGCTAAGAAATGAAACATACAACAGGCTAGGACCAGGTTTTAAGTGGTCAGATGGGCCTTACCCCGTATCTGAATGAAAACTTAACCGGGTCGAAATATTTGTCACCTTATGGAAGGGAATCTCTAAATAGTCATCCCCATCAGTGAGGACACCTTCTAATATTGACAAAAGCTTTCATTCAGAAGCAGCTTTAGATTAAAATTGTTCTAATCAGTCAGTGACTACTTTCTGTGAACATGCAGACTGTCACACTGTTTGATTGTGACGAGAGGCTATCCAGTCACACTTTGTGACTGTGACGAGACGCTATCCTGTCACATTGTGTGATTGTGACGAGATGCTATCTGGTCACACTTTTTGACTGTGACGAGACGCTATCCTGTCACATTGTGTGATTGTGACGAGACGCTATCCGGTCACACTTTGTGACTGTGACGAGACGCTATCATGTCACACTGTGTGACTGTGACGAGACGCTATCCTGTCACACTTTGTGACTGTGAAGAGAAGCTATCCTGTCACACTGTGTGACTGTGATGAGACGCTATCCTGTCACACTGTGTGACTGTGACGAGAAGCTATCCTGTCACACTGAGTGACTGTGATGAGATGCTATCCTGTCACACTGTGTGACTGTGACGAGACGCTATCCTGTCACACTGTGTGACTGTGACGAGAAGCTATCCTGTCACACTGTGTGACTGTGACGAGATGCTAACCTGTCACATTGTGTGATTGTGACGAGACGCTATCCGGTCACACTTTGTGACTGTGACGAGACGCCATCATGTCACACTGTGTGACTGTGACGAGACACTATCCTGTCACACTTTGTGACTGCGGTGAACATGCTGACTGAGCTACATAGTTACTCCCTACTTACCACCTCCTCTTCCTCCTCCTCCTCCTCATCATCCGGATCTGGCTAATTTTTCACAACCCCAAAATAGGTTATACACAGGAAGACCTCTAGTTTTCTACCAGTTGTTTACTTATCTCTACACCATCAGATCAACATATCTACTTTCTTCTCCAGATGTGTTCTCTATTGTTACTGTGTGCATATTTATAGATTTTTTTCAAAATCCATTATTTACAAGAAATGTTTTTTTTCCCATAATGACTCTAGAAATTGTAGTAAAATGAGTTAAGATATATTAAAATTGGTTGAAACTTTTGTTAGAAATCTCTGAACAAAAATTGAAAGACATTGGTGGTAGTGTTGCTATGTGTGTCATACCTTGGCTTTCTCAATACAGGGACAGATAGCCCAGGCTGCACTGGCTTGGACCTCTGTGTTCTGGTTTTTCAGTAGTGACCACAGCAATCTCACACCGTCCAGCTTCTCTATGATACTGCAAAAAGACAAAGTCACGAAATATAAATATACATATGACCACAGCAATCTCATGTATTTCTCGTCATATCAAGTGTCATTTGTCAGTTGGAAATGTGATATTAAGCAAAAAGAAACGTATATACAGCAATGGAAATTGTATCCTTCTGGACAAGTAACAAGGGCTGCCCAGATATAGAAAAAACTAAGTACAATTAGACCTGATAAAACAGGTGAAATCCATGCTGACCAAACAAACCCTCAGATACGTCTTAGCTATCTAGCGAGTCTCCATGGCAGTGTTTCACCTTCAAACCGCTCCTGTTGTTGTCATTGTAATAACAACATGAATTTCAAGTTTTTCAGGTTATCTTTGGGACCCTCTTTAAAACTCTCCTTTTAAAGGCAAAATTCTATGCCGAAATCTATATGAAGCACAAGGATATACAACTCCACTATCCTGATACCAAGGGATAATAGATTTTAGGGCAGGTGGACATTTTTGACTCATACAAGTACAATAGATCCGACTCATACAAGTACTATAGATCTGACTCATACAAGTACAATAGATCTGACTCATACAAGTACAATAGATCTGACTCATACAAGTACTATAGATCTGACTCATACAAGTACAATAGATCCGACTCATACCAGTACAATAGATCTGACTCATACAAGTACAAAAGATCCGACTCATACCAGTATAATAGATCTGACTCATACAAATACAATAGATCTGACTCATACAAGTACAATAGATCTGACTCATACAAGTACAATAGATCCGACTCATACCAGTATAATAGATCTGACTCATACAAATACAATAGATCTGACTCATACAAGTACAATAGATCTGACTCATACAAATACAATAGATTTGACTCATACAAGTACAATAGATTTGACTCATACAAGTACAATAGATCCGACTCATATCATCAAACAAACATTTAACAAATTAATCATGATTTGGCCGTTTCGTCCTTCATTACAGAAATATTGATCAATGTGGTTAAAACCCTTTTTTCTTCTTGATATACTTTTCACCACTTGTGACCCTCCATACAGATACATCATGTGCTTCCCGGTCACATGAGTATTTGTGTAAACATTCACCTTGACAGGGTTTGGTATAAAACAACAAAAACTACAACGGAAAGTCTGGGCTCAAAATCATTTGAGCACATGACTTGAAATAGAAAGCAAAGACAAATAACGAGGTAAATGAATTCTGTATAACGATATCAATACACATTCCAGAATCGCGGAAGGATTTAGGAGGTCAATGGCTACACGCACACCTACACAGTTTAGTAAATTTCGACACGGATGTCCCCTTCTAACATGAGATATCACCATCATTCCTACCAAACTGATAACTTATTTATAAACACAATCAATATCAAATACCTGATATCACTAGTATCAGCTTTCAAAATTACATGTTCACAACTTCAGCCTGGTTACCTTGTGGATACAGGAGTGTACAATTTCACTTTTGAGTACTAGTCTGCATGCAGATTTTGAAAATTCTACTTATCTAAACCTACAATGTATGTTATCATTAGAAATATTGAAACCTTTCATTAGCCCTGATATAAAATCTACTAGCCAAGGGGTAAAACTGTAAACTCCTGAAGTAATGGAGCCATATGACCATCTGTGATGTCAACCAGGAAACAAGTTTTAACAGACTTTAATCCTAGCACAAAAACTCTTTATCAGCTTTTAACAAAATTTTGAAAGTGAAATTTAATCAAAATTTATAATTATTTAAATTCATTAAGTTATTCAGGTTTTCAGTCCAAATATGGAGGTGTGTTGGCTGTTGATTCAAACAAATATGATTCACAAAAAATCCACTTGTGTTAGATGCCAATAAGTTCATCAGGTTTGAAACATTTAGACTCACATCCTTGATGCTTGATGTTCAATTTTCTGTTATCAACTACAAACACATCAATTTATATTAAAGAGGAAATGTAATCTTTTGAACTACCTGATATACTTCAACTGAGTAAGCTGCTTTTTATGCTAAATTCTTCCATTTTTCAACATATTTTGTTATTGATTCAGACCTCAAACGATAAAGATAAAAAGAGACATGATGAAGAATCGTTTGATCTGTTAGAGAACTTCTGGTTCTGTAGAAGACAAACCAGTCTACTGACATCAAGCTAACCATACGGAGGGTTACCTGAGACTCACCTGATCACAAACAGTCAGGTGAACCTCTGTCATATAGATAACACTTCTGATGTCAACAGGTATGGCCCTCTTATACCACAATGACTAACACACAGCTGGGTACTACCACATTACCTCCCTTTATCAGTTCTACAACTGTTTTCACAGCAGAGCTCAAAAAACAACCTCTCACTAAATAAGGGTCAGACAACACAGTTTTCATTAAACGACAAAGAACAACACTTTTCTCTATACAATCATAAGAGACGCAGTTTTCACAAAATTTACTATCAGAGAACTCCATTGTTAGAAAAAAACCTTTTGCAATTTTGTTTCTTAAACCAATTTGGGGGTTTTCAGGTTTTTAATTCCACACAAATAAAATAGTCAACAGTCCTAACTTTTCCTCCAGCCAATCAATCGATTCACACGGTGATCTGTCCGGCCTGTTTTTCAGACCCTTGTAAGTTGTATTGTGACAAAAATAATGTTTGTGATGTATTAGCACTTTACAGAAGTGGGGAGTGTTCTGACCCCTGTAATGGTGATTTCAGAACCCTTCCTGATCCCCTGAAGTGAATAGGGTGATATTCTGACTCGTTATGGTAGTCGTCAGTACTGTGCCTGATCATCAAAACCCACACAGAACTGTCCCTGATCACCAAAACCCACAACCCACACAGAACTGTCCCTGATCACCACAACCCACACATAACTGTCCCTGATCACCAAAACCCACACAGAACTGTCCCTGATCACCAAAAACCACACAGAACTGTCCCTGATCACCAAAACCCACCCAGAACTGTCCCTGATCACCAAAACCCACACAGAACTAGCTGTCACTGATCACCAAAACCCACACAGAACTGTCAAATGTCAAACGCTACGTATCACGATACTGGGGTCACGATCCAATACCTATCATAAAACATTTAGTAACACTAAACAGTAGAAGCAAAGAGAAAAGATATGTTGCAAGTTTTTAATGGCAATATTACAACAGGAAACAGACTTTGTCCAAAATGGGCATGACTTTAACGTTTCACAAAAGTCACGGTTTTTGACATGCATGTCAAGCCGGAGCCATCACTTGATTGCCATGTTGGATCGAATATAAGTAGACTTAATTCAGAAACGACGAAAATCCAGAAAATATCGTAGGTGTATCATGACTCCCAAAAATATTGTGTATCGTACCGTGTTCAAAATATCGTGATAAATCGTCACCCATTATATCGTTGCAGTCCCAGTGTTTTAATATTTCTGCAATGTCTGTTTGACCTACCCCATGTTGTCTTGCTCCTCTGCACACTGCCCCACAGCCTTGGTCACATTGACCAGTAGAGCCTGGTTAGTACCGGTCAGTAGGTTGACCAGGGGTGGGATTCCTCCAGACTTTCTGATGGCCAGACGGTTTGGTGGGTCCTTGGCTAACTCACCAAGGGCTCCAACAACATTTACTAGCACCTGTAAGAAAAGAAAAGAAACATTTTAGTAGGAAACATTTTTCTTCAATGCAGTTTTTTCAAAATGATTTTGATAAGCAAATTTTTAATCATTTTCAACATTAAAACTTTAAAATTCTATTTAATTTGATAAGATACAGAAAGAAAAAGAATTTTTTGAGGAATGACACACAGAGAGAAATTATAAACAATAAATCATTTTATTAAAATTCACTATCCCTTTTGCTGGGTCTTATTAAACACAAATATATGTACCTCCTCTGGTTGGTCGTTCAACAGAGACACCAGCATCTCTATGGCCTTGAGCTCCTGGAATCGTTGTACGTTCTCTGGACTAATAGCACATTTCCAGATGGCTCCAGTGGCTGCTGCAAGGAGCTCCTTGTTTTCTGTCTTCTGTAGCAACGAGACGAGCGGGTCCAGACCGCCATACTGTCTCACAAGGTCTCGGGTCTCCTTCTCCTCCGCACACTGGGGCAAGGGAGATAACCAGTGGTGAATTTCAAGTTATAGTTAAGAGAGAGAGCCCAAATAATTATCTACAGTATACAGGCATTGAATTATATATTAATTATTTCCCTGTTAGATGAATGTTATTATTCATACAATCATTGGTTGTGAGCATTGAAGGGAGTAAACTAAACCATTTCAGAACTATTCCCAGTGCTATTGCTGAAAAGTATTAAAGCTAGCTATAGTATATCTAAAATCAAGAGGTCTGTAGCCAGAATCACTGCAGCAGAAATGTTTTATAGTAAAAAGAAATGATATCATGTTTTTGTTGTACCTCTTAGTTATTTAAATGGTAAGCAACTCAAAGTCAGAAAGAAAAGAAAAAAAATATGAAACTCTTCTTTGTTGGAGATACGACACAGACCGCTGGGACAGTGAATTACTTGGAGATACGACACAGACCACTGGGACAGCGAATTACTTGGAGATACGATACAGACCGCTGGGACAGTCAATTACTTGGAGATACGATACAGACCGCTGGGACAGTGAAGTACTTGGAGATACGACACAGACCGCTGGGACAGTGAATTACTTGGTTTCAAATGTATACAGAATATCTTATCATCGCTATGTGAATAATAATTATATCAATACACATAAATTTGACGGATTCTCATAGAATATAGAAACGTCATTAAACAGACATTGATCAGAAATAATTATTACATATACTTTAAAAGCTAGTTTGATTCTTTAACTTCAACCCTCCATCTCCGACTCAATGTATGTACAAGGATGTAAGCAACACAACTGATGTATAACAGATCTCAATGAACCAAGATTTTATAAATAAACTAAAACCTTATTCATTAATAATACAGTCTACATTGAAACTTGACCTTTGAACTTTCATCAAAGGAAGATTTATATTAATTAGAAATAAATCCTTTTATTAATACCTTGAAGACTGCTGATGCACAATGCATTTGTAGTTCATCCGTTTGACTCTTGATATTCTTCACCAGATCTTCAATCATACCTTCTGTCCTTATAGCCAACCTGTAGCTCGGCTGTAAAATTAAACATCATCATCATCATCATCATCATCATCATACTTAAATGAAAAATACTAGATCATGATCAAAGTAGAAAAGAGACAGATAATACAGGAATCAAAAGTGTAGTAATATGTCTCGTGTGGAAAGTAGAAAACTTCACGGCAGAGAATGCAGAGTAAGTCATTAAAACTATGTATCTTCAATTTATTTTACGATTCATTTTTTATCACAAAACTTCTAGCCATTCAAAGTGAATTTTGTAACGTTGATTCATGAATGCATATCAACATATGTCAAGACAAACATGAGAATTCAAAACATATTATTAAGAAGAAATGTAACATAAAACTGCCATGAGGTGAGGAAGGCAGTGTCTGAAATATACTTCATATACATGGTACATACAAGTAGAAAGAAAACTACTTGCAAACCTTACAATTCACTAGACATCTTACTAACTTTTTCCCCCTTTTTTTTAACCCATTCTTTATATACAAAATATTAAACTGCCTGACCCTGATTGTATTAGTACCAAATTCTGTTGGCCGAAGTCATTGTATAATAAGACAACATGATCAGTATCATGAAGCTTACCTCTGAAGCGCATTCCTGTAGGGTGCCAACGACTGGGATGAGCATGTCCTCATGGACCGACTTGAGGAGTTTGGCGAGGAGAGGAATGGCGCCCGCCTTCCTCATGGCCTCCTTGTTCTTCTTACTCTTGCTGCAGCTCCACAGGGCCAGTGCTCCACATCGCGCCACCTCAATGTCCTTCTCTATCTCCGGGGTCATTTGGCTGGTCAGCAACACACAGTCCAGCAGGCCAACCTATACCACACAGCTAGTTATAATCATTGTTGAACTCAGGGAAGATGGAAAAAATTGTCTTAAAACATTCTGGTTCATAAAAAACTTAAGTAAATTTTACTTAAGTAAGTCAGAATTTTGTACTAAGTACTGAAATATTTTACTTAACTTAAGATTTCCTCTTAGTTGTATTCCTAAAGGTATTTAACCTTACTGTTTGTACAGTATTGTTGTTGGATGTATGTAACGAATAATTATATTTGGAGAAGATTATGTAAATATGTGCTTGCCATTCAGCAAAAATTTCTCTACAAAATTTACTAACTTTAAAACAAATTGTTAATCTTTGCAAATGTCCGTCCAATCTTGAACTATCAACTATATCCCTTACCAACTTCTTGATTCCTCCATGCTGCCTAACAGTTCGTCTTGCACGACGGAATTTTGCTACATTGGCAATGGTTTCAGCAGCCAAACATTTGAGGTCCTTGTCAGGGTCACGCAGGATCTTTACCATGGTCTGTAGTCCCCCGAGATCAGCTATTGCACGACGTATTTGAGTGTTACGGGAAATTTCTTTTAATATCTTTAGAGAACCGATCTGGAAAACAAAACAAATACATCAATCAATACCTGATGACTTGTGGACAATTCAATATCCGAGCAGAAAATTAATAAAATGAACAGAACAATTTTGACTTACAGATAGCCCCTTCCCATCTGAAAATAATCTCCATTTTCCCCAATTTTAATTTCTCATTCCCAAAAATGATTATCATACATAAAAGAATCTATCTGTTTATTTTTCTATTATAATTTCTGAGCAATGGAATCAACATTTTCTTTGGTCCAAATGCAAAATTAAATAAACATTTAAAATGCAAACAATGACCCAGGTTATAAGACGAAAGCACAATTATTAATGAAAAGAAAGGGTCTGGATGTATTGTTTTTAATTCTGGATTTTCTCAATTTTACGTGTTTTAATGGAAATTTCTAAACACCGTACAAAGTTCTGGTACCTTGCATTTGATGTCTTCTGTGTCGAGTAGGTTGATGAGGACCTCCAGTCCTCCCACATCTCTGATGGCCAACTGACATGTCTCCTGTGCCAAGTTGAAGTCACGCATCGCACACAGGGCTATGATTGTGGCGGTCTGGTTACCTCCCTTTAAAAAAGAATTCAAACAAGTGTACAGGAACCTGTTCGTTTATGTGAACAACCGGTACGTCCATTTATAAATGTAATATTTTCAGGTATAAATCCTGGCGGACCTGCAAAAGGTTATGCAGGCCTTGCAAGGCTTTGTTAAGGCTCGCTGGAAAGCAGCATCAGATTACTGAGTCCGATCTAATTTCATAAACGAACAACTCTGGTCCAATCAGTTCAACTGTTTGGATCGCGATAAACGAAAACGGCCCTGGACTATGGTGCTGGCTTTGTCTGATTACCTCCCTTCACATTCAAACTAGTGCACAGGACTATGCTGATGGCTGTCTGGGTTACCTCCCTTTAATAAGTCAAACGCGATCACAGGGCTATGGGGGCATGCCTGTCTGGTTACCTCCATTAAGTCAAACACTGAGCACAGGACTATGATGGTTAATGTTATTTTTGTCTTTGTATGGTTATTTCTTATTTCTATAAATGCAGTTTCAACTTGATATTTGAAGAAGTATTTGTATGAAACTATCAACAGACTTATCAAACTTTGTCCTGATGATCAGTGTAACCAGTAATGATAATCAGGACAATACCTTGAGATATTTGACAAGTTTCTGTATCTGCCAGTACTCGGAGGGGAGGTCAGCGTTGGTCTCGCTCCTCCTCTCCACGGCCTCCTCTTCCTCCTCACTCTCCGTAGAGCTCTCGCTGAACGAGTCCTCAGCATCTATAGGTGTCTTAGACTTCATCCTACAACGGGGACACTTAAGTTAAACTCAATCGACAACAACACCAGACACCGATATCACCTACATAGAGTCAGCCTCAAGTCAACCTACATAGAGTCCGCCTCAAGTCAACCTACATAGAGTCCGCTTCAAGTCAACCTACATAGAGTCTGCTTCAAGTCAACCTACATAGAGTCCGCCTCAAGTCAACCTACATAGAGTCCACCTCAGGTCAACCTACATAGAGTCTGCTTCAAGCCAACCTACATAGAGTCTGCTTCAAGTCAACCTACATAGAGTCCGTTTCAAGTCAACCTACATAGAGTCCGCTTCAAGTCAACCTACATAGAGTCCGCTTCAAGTCAACCTTCATAGAGTCTGCTTCAAGTCAACCTACATAGAGTCTGTCTCAAGTCAACCTACATAGAGTCCGCCTCAAGTCAACCTACATAGAGGCCGCCTCAATCAAGTCAAGCTTTATATACATGACACACAGACTCAAGCCCAACTCAGCTTGAGGCAGACCTTTATATTGAGTACTAACTTATTAACCCTTTCACCACTGTAGACCATAATGAACCCCTCCAAATCAATGCAAGGTAGAGTCCACTAAAGTTGCGTAGGGGTGAAAGGGTTAAATAAGTAAATATCTAAAATCACAAACATTGGTTGTCAAATTAAACAAATAAATGGACAAAGTGGTAAAACTATTTACCAGAATATAATTTTAAGATAACCAAATCTTACAAAATAAGTTGTTCAAGGAATACATGGATGATGATACAGGTGTTTTACTTTTATATTTTAGAAAATTTCTCCTTTTTCATGTTTGGAAAATTGACAGTGATTGAATACATGTATGTCAGAATCCATACATGTCTTTCTCTCTGTTAAAGAGCTGAGGATTTTCTGAACTCCTTTTTGTTACAGTGCATCAATTTTTTTCAAGTAGGAAATTAAATTGTTCTCTACTAGGAGCAAGATATTGATTTTTTCTTTTTTCTTTTTAGATTTATAATCATCCTTAGCTAATGTTCATAGATAAAGATAACCAAAAGATAATTTTTAAAACGCTACAAGGTTGTTAAAAAGGAAACATGCTTTAGTCCATTAGTGATACATAGTACTATAAACTCTATAGGCCGGGTGATCTAAGTATACCTTAATGTTCAAGAGACAAGCAACTTCTACCATTTTAAGAGTTGTATGCCCTCACAGCAGGGAAATAATCCATAATAACGTGACTTTTATTCTTGATGATTGGGTTTTTGAGTTCTTAAATTTACCTTGGTGTTGTTTTCTTCTTTTTCAGTCTTCTGTTTGAGTCACCTTGCCTCTCACTGTGAAAAAGAAAATTGCACAAATAAGGATCATATCCTTGAAAGAAACTTTAAGTTTGGGTCAGGATTAATGGTCACAGTTCATTGCTTACCATATTGACTGTATTTCTTAAATAGTGGCATTTATAAGCTATATCTACTATACCCCGATACACACTTACATGGTGCTCTTTGACAATTCAGAAAAGAGCTATTCCTCCGTACCTAAGGCCTAGTTTTCACCCGAGCATGTACTTGACTTACTCTACTTTGTATTCCTCCATGCCTAAGGCCTATAATTGACTTACTCTACTTTGTATTCCTCCGTGCCTAAGGCCTATAATTGACTTACTTTACTTTGTATTCCTCCATGCCTAAGGCCTATAATTGACTTACTCTACTTTGTAGTCCTCCATGCCTAAGACCTATAATTGATTTACTCTACTTTGTATTCCTCCATGCTTAAGGCCATACTTGACTTACTCTACTTTGTATTCCTCCATGCCTAAGGCCTATAACTGACTTACTCTACTTTGTATTCCTCCATGCCTAAGGCCTATAATTGACTTACTCTACTTTGTACTCCTCCATGCCTAGGGCGTATGATTGACTTACTCTACTTTGTATTCCTCCGTGCCTAAGGCCTATAATTGACATACTCTACTTTGTACTCCTCCATGCCTAAGGCGTATGATTGACTTGCTCTACTTTGTATTCCTCCGTGCCTAAGGCCTATAATTGACTTACTTTACTTTGTATTCCTCCATGCCTAAGGCCTATAATTGACTTACTCTACTTTGTATTCCTCCATGACTAAGGCTTTAATTGACATACTCTACTTTGTATTCCTCCATGCCTAAGGCGTATATTGACTTACTCTACTTTGTACTCCTCCATGCCTGAGGCTATAATTGACTTACTCTACTTTGTATTCCTCCATGCCTAAGGCGTATGATTGACTTACTCTACTTTGTATTCCTCCATGCCTAAGGCCTATAATTGACTTACTCTGCTTTGTATTCCTCCATGACTAAGGCTTTAATTGAAATACTCTACTTTGTATTCCTCCATGCCTGAGGCTATAATTGACTTACTCCACTTTGTATTCCTCCATGCCTAAGGCGTATATTGACTTACTCTACTTTGTACGCCTCCATGCCTGAGGCTATAATTGACTAACTCTGCTTTGTATTCCTCCATGCCTAAGGCGTATATTGACTTACTCTACTTTGTTCTCCTCCATGCCTAAGGCGTATGATTGACTTACTCTAATTTGTATTCCTCCATGCGTAAGGCCTATAATTGACTTACTCTCCTTTGTACTCCTCCATGCCTAAGTCCTATAATTGACTTACTCTACTTCGTATTCCTCCATGCTTAAGGCCTATAACTGACTTACTCTACTTTGTACTCCTCCATGCCTAAGGCCTTCCACTTGAGTGATGGTTCCAGACGTTTCTTCCGCTGTGTCTTTTGCTTTGTTTGCTTTTCTTTGTCTTGTTCTTCCATTTCTTTCTTCCTTCGCTGTATGTCTGTCCGCTGGGTAACCTGCTCATCATTGTCCATTGTGTCTTCATGGCGATGATCTGACAGCTTTTCGTTCTCCTCTCGCACTTTAAGGGAGAAATCCTGACCACCACAGAAATTAAAAATAAATGATGGATTTCTGAATCATTACCATTTTGGCTTCTTTTAAAAGTGCCCAACTTAATCAGCCACTATTATTTATAACATTAACTAAGATATTTTTCTTTTAAACATGAACATGATTCAATCATTCAAGATAGACTTGACATATTCTAGACAATTTTGTCCACAGTGAGACTAAAGACGGGCTACATAGAACTTTTCTGTTAATATTGTCCACCTGTATCTTTTTCTGGACATGTAATTTTCAATGAACCAATATTTTGACTTTTTCTTTTAAGGATTGAAACACAAAGAAAAACAATAAAATTATATGTGAGATATGAATTCCTAAACTCCAATGAAAAGTAGTGTCATTGTTACTATAAATAGTAGAGTGACCTTGAATTTGACCTTGAAATCCTGAAGTAGGGAATCATTTAAGGTAATCTAATACTAGACTTTTGTATAACGTTTTATCAAAATCCATTGAGAAATGAACGTTGCTAGAGTGATGTCACTGTTTAGGACAAAATAATAATTAAGTGAGGCGACCTTGGCTTTGACCTTGGAATGATTTAATACTAAGTTTTTCCAGGTATTCTCATATTTGACCTTTGTATAAAGTTAAGACACACTAGAGCGTTGACAGTGATTTGGAAACATACTCATATCAATGAACAGTTTGATCTATATAACAAGACCATTTCTCAAACAACATCCAAATCCAGATCTCCCAAGCTATTAATTAATAATGTACACACCCAGGAAAGTCTTTTATATCATGTTGATTTGTACCAAACAAAACAAAATAACAACATATCGCAACGTCATTAAACAGATATTACCTGATTATCAATCATTTCTGCAAACTTGGGACTTTTCTGTTTAAGGAGCAGAACCAGGTCACGGCAGGGCTCACCTTCTCTCTCATATTGCATCTCACCCAGACCGTCGGGTCCCTAGACAAGAGAAAATATTTTACATCTCAGACACAGTACTACATCTCACCCAGACCGTCGGATCCCTAGACAAGAGAAAATGTTTTACATCTCAGACACAGTACTAAATCTCACCCAGACCGTCGGGTCCCTAGACAAGGTGCTTAATTTCAGAAGATTTTTCCTGTCAAATGTTGTCAATATGAATAATAGATCATTGCGATGGATTATACAGATTTAAGATTTTTACTGAAGTGATCATCGATAAGTCGTTGCATAGTTACCAGTTAACAGCCTATATATTAGACCTTGTAACAACTGTATGTTGTGATACACTGCATATTTCCATAAATTGAAACAGCCTTACAAAGTATATAGTACAAAACTACAGGGAAACAACATCCATTCTATAAGTCATTACTAACTACTGTTTATCATTAAGGTTTATGGTCCAGTAGCGTTTTCTATGAATTGGATTAAAGAAAAATATAGGTCATACAAGTTTTTTCCTGAAATCTCACAACTGAACACCACGAACAGTGACAGCAGTGTTCAAACTTAATGGTAGACCCTTAGACTATCACCGTAAAAAGCAAGTGTTTTGTTAAGTCTCTCAGTTATTTCCTATGATGTGAGAAATACAGTAGCGAGAGAAAAAGTCCACTATGAAATTACTTTTCTGCCTTAATTATACAATTACATATTTTCTTTATTTCATCTTAATGAACACTAAACACGCAACTTAATGTTCTAAGTCAAGGACTGGTCTATTAAAATTTCAGTTGGTCTATAAGAAATCGAAATCTCTTAGACGTACATGTATTGTCTATGGTGTGTTAAGATCCTAAATTCTAAGACTGTGAAAGCAGATATAATGCAATCACTCAAATTTATTATTACACTGCTACTTGCTTGGATTATTAAACGTGAATAATTGTTCACAATTGCATGCAGGTTAATTTTACTACTACGATGAACAGAGGGGTGAAGTGTTACCTTGAAGGTGTAGTAGCCAGATGTGTTTGCCATTATGTAGAGAACACCGGTGTCGAAGGGTTGGACCTCAACGTAGGCGATGTCACCATGGAGCTGTCTGTGGGCGGGGGCACGACACCCATTCTCAAACACGAAGACAGGGCCTACAACATCACACCAATTAGGATTTAAAGTTAATCCTTTCTTTAGTCACTGCTAAATTTGAAATGATAGGTTTGATGCATGGACAAGATTAGAAAGCTTTTATATGAACGGATTGCATTTAAAAACATTTTTTTTGGTGAACCAAGCAAAACGTTTGCTTTTAATTATTGATACAGTGCTGCTTGTAATCTGAAAAAAGGAATACTTCCCAAGTCAAAGAGATCATATTTCTTTTTTTCATTTCTCACGTCATTCTCCATTTTAAATGCTGATAAGGTCATTCTAATGAGAAATCACAATTATTAAACCACATGTAGAAGTAAATTAAATCATGTTGATTTCTGATATTTAAACTAGATACATATTTCACTAACCATAGAAGCCAATGCTTTTTAAGACACAGGATTCCTCTGAGGGGCCGGACAATTCTCTTAAGTTCTTCACCTCTCCATCCACCGTAGAAGGATTGAGACGCACTTCTCTGAATAAGCAACAAAACAATAACAGTTACAAGGATATCATATAAGTTTTTACCTCTCTATCATATACTTTACAGGGATACCAAAATTACCATAAATTATTTTAATTATACCTCTCTGTCAAAGACATTACACAGATAAATAAAAACATATTTACCTCTGTCACATACCTTACTGAGCTATCATATAAATCTACATTTCTATGACAAAAATTAAACAGAAAACATGATTATGGTGTGAACTGGTCCAAAATTATAAGTATTTGGTGAATGTTTTCTGCTGATAGAATGAGATTTCAAATTTAACAAAACATTTTATCAATTTTTTGTTGCAGAGTCTGAACATGACTAACAATTGTGTTGAACCAGCCATTGGCAGTTGTTATTGCCAATTAATATGGATACTGCAAATGTTCCAATCTCCAAGTATTCAATTTATTGATTTAATAAATTTTCACTACACTATAGTGTTAATAATTAACACATATTTGTGATCCATTTCTATCACCTATTTTTATGAAAACTTACGCAATCAACATATTTATTTCTACAGATTTTACAGACACCTGCTTACTTTGATATGAGAGAAATGCTTGTGTTCATTAAGTCCTGGTCCAGTTTTGATAGCTGAAGTTTCAGCTTGAGTATGGCTTTTTTCTCCTCGATCTCCGCGGTGCGGTCTTCATTTCCCTCTCCCTCACTGCTTTGTTTGCTCAACTGTTCGATCTCCTTGGTGATCTCCTCTGTGAATCTGTAGATGGAGTTGTCTTCCCCTTCTACTGTAGCGAACCTGTCACCAAGTATGTTGGCTCCTGGATCTCTGTTGGCTGTGACATTGAAGTGTAAAAATGTTCAATGTAACAGCAGTATTACTCGGACACTGACACTTTAAACTCAACACCAGAAACAGTATAGAAAAAATCTAAAACTATTCCAATCTAATAGTTACACTAGTAAGTGTCCATTTAGGTAAATGATCCCTTACAAGTTACAATTATGTGTCTGCTCAATCCTTTTAATGGTTCGGCCATCTCATTCAGTTCACCATGCATCAACTGACTTTTTATCTAAATAGAGTCTATTATGAATTTTTTTCAAGAAAATTAAATGGTTCTGCATTTTAAATTTCTGAAATTGTTAAGTGACCAGAGCATATTTTCTCCCCAATTTTACTAGAAAGGAAAGTCTCAAAATCCCCCCTATCTCATCTAGACCTTAATTAAACATTTTCCGATTCCATGACTTAATTTGAAATGATATACAATGATAATGACCTTCTAGGCAGGCTCTGACTTCGTGTAGTTTTCTGTCGCCTGCTGACTGAGAGACCTTCTCCGCCCACTCCAGACTCATCACACAACACTGATAGGATGAGGCATTTATCTTCATCAGCGAGAACAGGGGGTTCTCTTTATCAGCCATCTCATCAGATACCAAGTCATCCCCCCTGAATAAGATAAGATATTTAAGTTATATCAAGTCATTTACAGTAATCTCCCCTTTTATGATTAAAATTATATATTTATTGGAATGTAAGAATTTTATATCATTATCACTTTATATATATTTGTATGTCTTCCATCATGGCAAGCTTATATTGAAAAAAAATGAATCAATTGGTTGAAATACTTGTGTAGTGGATCATGGATTTATTAAAAGTACATTTGTTCTACCGAGGCTCAAATGTGTATAAAGTGGACAGATTGGCTAAGGGACATAACACATACTCAGTATCAATGTAACTATAGATAGTACAAGTTACATACCGTTCTGAACAGCCTGCTGCAGAAAACTGGTTTGGTGTTAATGAGGATTGCCATTTTAATGGTTTTTTGAACACAAGTTTTGATTCTGATGAGAATTTACTGCTGTATCCATCAATAAACTGTACAATGCAATTGAGGAGTTCTTCATTAATTTTTGTGAACTCCAGTTTGCCTCCGGTTCCGTCTTTGGCCGACGTCCATTGGGCCGCCCTGGTAAACGCCTGACCCATCCTGGTGGTCTGTCAGGCTTGTTCCCAGGAAATCTTTTCTACAAATATATAACAAAAAGAACTTGATAGTAAGAACAATCATTTCTTCATTGTTCAAAAGCACATACCCGTTATACCAAATATACCAAAGCAGGAAAAATGGTAGTGCAAGTCCCTCTGGGTTTGAGTCAGCAACCCCACATGATCCTAGTTTGTCGCTAACTGATTGGGATAATGGGAAAATTTTCCCTGAAGTAAAGCTGGAAAGCTTAATAGTGATCATATATATATACATTTAAACTATCTACGATTACGTAGCTACTGACGTAAAGATGGTAAAGCACTAGCCACATGCTACCTGCGGCTTGGCAGAATTTATCTTTAGCTCATTCGGTAGAGCATAAGACTAGTAAACCCGAGGTCCCGGATTCGACTCCTAATGAACGGATCATTATTAGATGAAGACATTGAAACAAATATTGAAATAATGACCTTGCATTTATCTGTTTATATTAATGAAATACATAACATACTGTAGTATTCTTGTTGTTGTACACACTATCTATTATTAAAGTCATCGACAACAGTCGCTTGCTTCCAGACGGACAATTTCTGCTGTTTGTTAACTTCATAACTGCTGCACACTAACACAGTGACATTTGACTAACACAACTGCCAGTACTTCATATCAACAGAACAGTCACATTTTTTTCATACACTCGACAATCAATAGCTTTAAATAATATAACGTTTTCATCAAATGAGTGTACCTTAGTCTGGTTTAATAAGTATCAGCTGAATTGCACATTGAACATCCTTAACTCGTCTCTTTGCTTACCTTTCCTCTTCGTAACTCGATGCAGACAGCTCTGTAAATACCGCGTCGTTGCTAAGGTCACAGCGCAGGCGTAGCCGGAAATCCACTTATTCAAGGGACGTAACCGTGGCACACCCTCTGAAGCCTAGGTAGCACGTCCCATTATAAATAACGCTCACAAATGGGAAAAATGCATAAGTAACATTTAAAAGCCTACTTTTGATGTTAAAAAGTAATAAATTCCACTTTGCACTAAAGTATTAAAGCCACTTTGGCCGTCTCTGTGGAGTATATAACAAGATAGATTTTGTTTAGTATCTGTAACTTGAGATATTCTTCTTTTAGGTAATGACAAGTCTTAGTTATTAAGCATGAATTCCATACGCTGGTTAATAATCTTGATTCTATGAGACAAGGAGAGTAATTATTGTTAAAAAGGGTATTTATGCGAGTCTGTTGCTGTCTGTAGAAGGTACATACACTGAAGATCACAGTAAAATATTTATAATTACCCATAAAACCAGAACAAGAAGGATGATATGAAACTCTTCAAAGGGAGGACACACAGGCAAATCAGCAACAACATGGCGGTGAAGGCCTGGACTAGTCTGTCGAATCAGGTGGAACATACCCCAAGTGTTAATAGTTTTAAACACAGACTCAACAAGTTCTTGTCGGGTTACCCTTGTAAATTCCATGCTTCTTGCTATTAGCATTCCTGATCAGATAGCCTTGTGGAATGTTTAATCATGATTTAAACTAATAAATTACAAGATAACTGAAAACTGTATACGCAACGTAGGTCATGCATTACTATGGTGAACAATAGTTTTACTATAGATTATGAAGCGGCATTTCAGACAAATGAAAATAAATCGTTTTCTAAAGCAAAATTAAAAAATATATTCCTTTGATCATTTAGTTTAACATTCCCTTTATAAAGGTATAAAAAGATCAATTTTTAAAATGAAAATTGGTGCCATTTTTTAGTTGAAAATACCACACGAAACCACTTCAGTCTTAACAAATTTTTAACAAAACAAATATTCTGACAATTTCATTGTCAAATAAAAGCATGATTATGTACAAATCTCAAAATGTATGCCTCTGACAATTAAGTAAAGGAACTTTTTAACACATTGATGTGAAATTAAAAAATATTACATAGAAATTGGTTGTGTGTTTTTTAGGTAAAAATGGTACGTAATTTAGTTTTTCCCATTGCTGTACAGGTAAACAAGCCTTGACACGTGTTCACCGATACGTCTACCGTATTCACGGCTGTATCATGGAAGTCTCTTGGTTATATCCTGATAATTGTCACACATAGCCCGCACAATGTATGTTGCTCATGATGTGTGGATGCCTTCAAGATGACGGGAGAGTGTTGGCAGAGGAAAGTCAGTAGGATGATTCCTGAAACCATTAGAGGGAGTACCACTGGTAGACTGGTCCCTCAAAACTGAAATTAGGTACCGAGAGTCTGAATAATCTTATTGAAAAGGCGAACAAGAGGGACATTCGGGTTGTCGGGTTCGGATTTCTGTTTTTATTTTTCTAACTGACACCCATGTTTGCTATTTTATGTTTTCTGTCCTGCAGAACCAAGTGCGATAGTCCGAAATAACTTGTTATCTCCCTTTTGAAAAAATAAATGGAAATGCCTGATATTTCAAAGGGAGGTAGTCTATTGTTTCGAACTACAAATGTGAGTATAATACCGTCAGCTGTTTACGGATACTTCAGGGTTAAGACAGATAATATCCGTCAGAGCAGGCTACACTTCCCCTCGATGTAGGTCATACGATAAGGAGGGACAATGAGTTACTAGGACAGTGGTGGTGTTGGGATCTCAACAACATGTTCAATGACAAACACTCACACTGTTGATATCTATCTCATTACGTCCCGTGCACTAACTAATGGGAGGACACCAAACTATCGATCGGGAACCGTCTCGTTTACGGAAAGTGCCGACGGTTCCCGATTGCCAAACTATTTGTCCTGATATAATAGATATTATGTCAGGAAACTCCTTCAAAAAGTGTACAGTGACGTTGCTAGAAGGTGAGGTGAGCTACTATCTGAAATATCTAAGGAGAAAGATCACAAAAAGAACAGGAACGTAGAGGTTCCCTCCATTTTTCAAACACTTTAAACAAAAAAAAACAAAAAACGAAAATGGTAATTTCTGCAGTGTCTCCGAGTGAAGCATGTGATACCATTACCGCTGGTTTTAAAAGCAAACATATTCCTCCCCTAAATATACCATCATACCACAGGTACTAGCCTCGTCTGTGGATACATCTATAATATATGGGTGTATTGACAGACGAGGATAGTACCTGTGAATTATCGTCTCTTGTGAGCAGGTATTGATTGTTACGTCATTGGTTTGTGAGAGTAACGTCATCAATTTTTGAGAAAACGACGTAATTTTCTCACACAAGCCAATGACGTAACAATCAATACCTGCTCACAAGTGGAAATAACTCTGCAATACGCAAAGACGGAATACCCTGCCTTCTGCACACATACACACATGCACGCATACACAACACACATGGAGGCACGTCCTAAAATGACCTAAGCTGTTGATAAGACGTTAATTCCTACGTTATAGAACAACAAGTAACAGTACACTGAACACCTCTGAAGTAGGGGATAGTGAAATCTCTCAGAAAGGATCAAGGAATCATACACAGTTGATCGTCCTTTAATATTTAGTAGTTTGGTTTAGTTTGGTTTACATATGTTTAACGTCCTATTATAATAATTAACAGCTAAGGTCATTTAAGAACGTGCCTCCATGTGTGTAGTGTATGCGTGTTTGCGTGTGTGTATGCAGGAGACAAGATATGTTGGTAAGCTTGCCTCCTTGTGATAGCGCGGTTCTGATGTCGACTTTAAAGTGCTATCTCACTTAAATACCATGCCGAAGGCACCCAGCACAGCATTCCGTCCGGTCACATAAAACTGACAACGGGTGAACCAGTTGTTGCCATTCCCCTAAATGCTGAACGTTAAGCAGGAATAACAACTACCATTTTTAAGGACTTTGGTATGTCCCAGCCTTGAGACAGAGCCCACTGCCTTCCTCACCTGGCTAACGCTCAAAATTCAAGCCAAAAGTGAGATGTTGCCAGGTGAGGCGCTAGGAAATAAAAGGTATTTAGAAGTAGAAGGAAAGTTAAAGATCCCAAATATTGCAATGGGTGCAGCAGATTTATTAAGGTCGCTTTTGTGTCCCCAAATAGAGGACACCAAAGCAAATCCTCAATTCTGCAGGGGGTTATAACATTAGTCGCCTCTTACGATACACATGCAGTGGGTAACAACAGGTGTATTCTTTTCCCGATCTCCACCTGCAGGGATGATTAAGTAGTAGATAAAGTATGCCAAAAATTAACTTAACAACATCGTACAGCTGTTTCGTCCTCTAGGACTCCTCAGTGATGCTAGGGGCCAAACACTGGATCATAAAGCTGTTTCGTCCTCTAGGACTCCTCAGTGATGCTGGGGGCCAAACACTGGACCATACAGCTGTTTCGTCCTTCTATGACTCTTCAGTGATGCTAGGGGCCAAACACTAGACCATACAGCTGTTTCGTCCTCTAGGACTCCTCAGTGATGCTAGGGGGCCAAACACTGGACCATACAGCTGTTTCGTCCTCTAGGACTCCTCAGTGATGCTAGGGGCCAAAACACTGGACCATACAGCTGTTTCGTCCTCTAGGACTCCTCAGTGATGCTAGGGGCTAAAACGTTGGAAATCCATATTGTTCTAAACTACTGTTGCACAGAAGGAGAGGTGCATGGACTCATAAAAATAAAAACAAAACTTTCGAGCGCTAAGTCTAACCCTATTTAGATCTACGGCAGCCAAGACCACAGTAATTAAATTGTAATACAGTATCACTCTTCAAAGCGTAAGCGTGGTCATGGGTATACAGTAGTCCAGACTATTACAATGTTGAGTTTGAAGATATGACGAAAACTCTGGACAAACCATTGGATTTTCTTCCTGTTAAAACCACACTATATTCGCTTTCTGTCTGTAATTACGTGCAGAAAATAAATTTGAAGATGCGACACAATTCAACTAATTCAGCCTGTTTGGACCGATAGTCCCGACTCTCCGGTAACTAGGAACCTGTTTGTACCGATAGTTCCGACTCTCCGGTAACTAGGAAGTTTATGAAAGTCATATTTACCAGCAACAGGATAGACGTATTATCCTAACGTTTATAAGGAAAAATCGTCGAAGCTAACATACCAACGAACTTCGGGTACAATAGTATGTCACAATTTTTACAGTTATTCTAGACTCATTGCCTCCGAGATTTTCAGCTACATGCTTTGCGTTGAACGTAAAATAACTCCTCTTCATGCATGCTATCGTTCTACGTCCCCATAATCTAACGTCCGGTTGTGGTAATCTCTGTGTTAGTGAGACTCGTCTGAATCCTTCAGCTGCTGATGATGACATCCATACTGAAACTTTTCCCACAGTCTTTCGCAAGGACAGACAGCATAGACGAGGTGGTGGTGTTCTTATTTATACTAGGAATAACATAATTGCTATACGTAGATTAGACCTGGAATCTGATGATGTTGAGGTTGTCTGGACAGAAATTAAGTTGCAACATAAACAAATGCTTGTAGGATGCTTATGTAGGGCTCCAAATTCCTTAGTTAACTACTGGGATAAGTTAGATGAAATTCTTGAAAAAATCTCTGATCTGAATATGAGTGTCTTCCTACTTGGTGATATTAACCAGAATATGCTGAATTTGACCCCAAATTCTCACCTGAAAATATTGATGATAAAGTATGGATTAAATAATATTGTAAATGAACCTACAAGAATAACCTCAACATCATCAACTTCCCTTGATGTTATATTGACCAATGACAGTAATTAGGTAATGTAACTGTGGACCCACCATCACGTACTGAGCAATGTGCTTTTAGTACCACAATTCCATTTAAGACACTAAGGAAAATTGCTTTAAAAAAAACTTTTGATATATTTTAATAAT